AATCTATTCTAGACCAGCTCATATATCTGTTGGAATAATAAGTATAATATTTACACCGATTATGACTTAATCTCCAGATATCAATTAAGTTTAGCTTATCCACAAGAGTAAAAGCTTCCTGTGGTAATTTACCTTGGAAAAATTTCTTACCCTTACAATTGGATCTGTCATTTATTGGGTCCCATACACCATTCCAATCAGCTGAAATTATAAATTTCTCATACTCTAATTGACTCAATTTGTGAGAAAGTTTCTTGAAAATTTTTCCTTTATTCTCCTGAAGGGCATACAAATTTACTAGTAATATCTTGTCTTCATTAATATGTAGTTCTACGGCTATATACCTCCCCTCACTATCTTTCAATATCTCTCTAGATTGAATTTTAGAGCTAACATATATAACTACCCCTTTTTTTTCTTTAATTTATCGCACGCAGCATACAGCTCACCCAAATCCCCCTTTTTCAGGATATGAAGGTCCTTTTCCCTAATGTGCATTTCCTGTAAACATATCACCTCCGCCTTTAGTTTCTTTATTTGTAGAAAAACTTTGTTCCATTTACTTTTTGAATTTAATCCATTTATGTTCCAAGACACAAGTTTTTTAAGCATCTTTTACAATTCCCCTCCCCTTTTTAAATTCCTTTAATGCTTACTTTTCTTAGGTTTTTTTTTTTTTTGCTTTTTTGCCCTCTTTGTATTATTTGACTTCTTGTCTTCCTATTTCTAGACTTATTTTTTAATACGGATTGATTAGAATCTGAACCTCTCTCAGATTCCGATTCTTTTTCTTCTTCTGATGAGTCTTTATCCGATTCATCTGAGCTATCAGTTCGTTCACCTGTTCCTTCTTTTTTCCTCATTAACTTTTTAAATCTTGTTTCCATTATTGGGGATTTACTGTGTAGCTCTTCTGATACTAATATCTCCCCTTTACATTCATTATATTCATCCTGCACTGTATTTTCTGTTAAAAACTTCTTCATTTTCTCCTCTGAGTTTATCGTGTATCTTACTGTCTTATATGTAAATGAAACCCCTTCTGTTTTTTTCCCATTTATGTTTCACATTGTGGTGTCTGAGAAATTCCGTTAATAATATATAATCCTTTCTTTTCTTCAATATTTGATTTGGGATTGCCTTGTATAATTTAATTTCTTTATCATTAATCAGTAATTTTTTACTATAACTCATCTCAAGAAATAATAATAATAATAATAATAATAATAATAATA